TTTTTTCTAAATAGACCGTGTATGGTTTGAATCAGTTATGAAATGATTGAATCAATGATGGAACCAAGGGAATTAAAGGGTTTGATTGCCCATACACCTAAAAAAATCAAAAATTTCTTAATTCGGTACAAAGTTACGAAAAATTTGCACCTGTAAACCCTTTTTTTTCTATTTTCTTAAATGCTCCCTAAAGATTAATTCAGAAGAATTTCCCCCTCTTGAACCCAAATCCTAGATCCGTCCCCTGTCAGAGATGACCACTTTTTCAGTTCTTTAATGGAAATTCAATAAGATAAAAGAATAAAGAGATTAGTTAATACCCTGCAAACATCACGTTGAGTAAGACGGTAGATCCAACAGCAAGACCAGCAAGTTCTCCGATCTGCATAATTAATTAAAAAACAAAATTTAAACAAGAGAAATTATGAGATGATGATGATGTTTAAATCATGAATAATATTATTTAGACATAATTTATTGACTTAATCATTCATAACTATTAGATTGACATTAGACCCGAGTATTAATTGGGACCCACAACTGATAGATTAAATCAGAAAATTTTATTATCAAATTAGATCGAAATAACATTATTGTTAAAATAAAGACCCCATGTGATTGTGATTAGTACAGATAAGATTAAAAAGGGTTGCCAAAAAGTCATTGTCCTGACCCTTTTTTAATCAGCATTTCTAGGCAAGTATTAGACCAATTAGTGAATAAGCTAGCATTTTTGTTCTATAGGAAAATCAGATGGCAGATTAGGCAAGCAAACCAATCAAAAACTATTAATTGCGTACTTATATTTGTATTCTTGAGGTTGACTTGAAACAATATTAGCAATAAGTGAACTTTTAGACACTTTTCTTTGGCAGGCCAGTTTTGAATGATGAGTTCTATTCATTTGTTCATATTAATTATTATTAGAGCTAGTTACTATACTATATCAAGTATGACAGCACTTGCACTATAGGTTGCAGATCTATGAGGTCGAGTTACAAAAAAATCGACCTATAAGTTGGAGAAGAAACATTGTACTTTGTATGGACAAAGTACAGAGTCGTTGAATACTTATAAGCGAATAAAGTCGTTAAAAAAAAAAAAAAAACAAGGGTATTGTTGAATCAATATTGCAAGTCAAGTCCGAAAATCAGGTTCTTTAGAATCTATTCTAGTAATGTTGTCTATCGCTTATTTCTAGGGATGAAAGTCTTTTGTAATAGATACTTTTTTATGTTTTTTTGATAATTGATGAATCTTTATCAACCAAACCCATTTGAACCTGTGGCCAGTAGTCAACCTTGGCGAAGTATAAACTAATAGGAAGATGGTAGGAATAGAAACTAACAGCTCGGTTATCTGTGGCGACACCAGAAATGACAAACATGAGGTAGAATGTGATTATGAACTCGACTACTAGAGACTGCACATCTGTTCCCGTCGGTAGGGTTCCGGCGAAATGATCATGCTTCCCGTTGAATATTAGTCGGAGGGTTCCGCTTGCTAGTGTTGATCCGAGGACTTGAGCTGAGATATAGGCTGGTACCTGCAGGAGAGAGAGAGAGAGAGAGAGAGAGTTAATGCTTGAAGTAGGTTGGAAAATGTAAGAGAGTTTTTAACAATACCAAACTAATCTAAAACTAACACTATAGTTTTGGTGGTTATAACAGTTGAGAAGACTAACCAAATGGGAGAAAGTAAATGTCTCTCTCCCCAACTTGGGTTCGATTTTCACTGGTGTTTCGTGGAAATGTCTCTCCCATTTTCTCTTCTTTTACATATAGACAGATTGGAGAATTAACAAATGGGAGAAAGGAAATGTCTCTCCTCCCGACCTGGGTTCGATTCTCGCTGGTATTTCATGGAAATGTCTCTCCCTTTTTTTCTCCCTTTACATATAGAATGATACTGTTGAAGTCTTGTTACCCTCTTGAAAAACAGAAGAATCAGCAAATGTGTGGGTTCTATTAATGCCGCTCAAGATGTCTCACAAACTCCTTGTTTGTTTCTAATAAGCACATTTTGCTTTGGACTAAAACAAGTTGATTTATGAAAGCATTTCACAACCACTAAAAAACAAGTGAAAAGGGAAGTTCTTCAAGAAAGATGATTTTTTACTATACTTGACGGTAGAAAATTGCGTGCATTCCTAATTTATGTAATAAATCATGCTTACCAATCCAGAAAATAAATGATTAGATAGTTCTCGATTATTTATTTATTTTTTTTTATGAAATTGAGGGAAGTTTCTTTGTGGTGACCTCATTTTGGACAAAAGGGTATCAAGGAATAAAGTGCATTAATCACAAGATTTGACTTATGAATAGAAAAACCCCACAAAGTTGGTTGATGTTAGTTTTACCTGTTTCCATGGAAACCTCTTGCAGGTGGCAAAAGCAATGGTAACAGCAGGGTTAAAATGGGCACCAGAGATATGTCCAACAGAGTAAACCATGACCATCACAACCAGTCCCCAGACTATTGATATTCCTGGTAGAGTCACAACCTTGTCCTTGTCCAAATTCACCACCACAGCAGCACAACCAGCAAATATTAGGAAGTATGTCCCCAATACCTCTGCAATCAACTGCCACCAAAAAAAAGGAAAAATTGAAAATTAACTATTTGTATTTCATAATTAATCAATTTTCAAGGAATTGGATATGTGGGTAAGCAAGATAGTTTATTTTCTGGGAAAATTGGATAGATGGACATTTATGGCAGAGAGTGGTATTAACTTTGGAGATATCTCCAAACTTAAGAGATGGGGTCCAATCGTGTTTCGGAAAGAAAAAGTTTGGATGGTAAAGAAACCATGGGAGAGAGAGAGAGAGAGAGAGATTGAAATGCTTGGTCAGTGGAATATAAGAAAAAAGTTCATGTAGGCCTGGATTTAGTTCTGGGAACTGAGAATAAATCCATAAAGGTTGGGGTTTATGGCTAGAATTTTGTTCTATAAGATCCTTAGCAACAAAAGCGATTATGTGTGTGTGTGTGTATATATATCTGCATACACTTAAGGACAGAATCAGAAGAAGAATCACCTTTTGCATAAAGGGTAGAGTGACAAAGCAGCCTGAAGAGTAGTCTTCATTGGATTTTGATGCTGAGCGAGGAGTGTTGTAATTCATTTCACCATCTTTTATATTTAAAGTCACTCCATGGCTATTACCATTAGCTCCTCCTCCTATCTCGGCCATCAGTGTTTATTACAATTCAACAACACTTTGGACACCGAAGAGAGAGAGAGAGAGAGATTGCTCTGTTTTGGTTTCTAACGTTGAAGTGTGATGCAAATCAGTAGGAGGTGTCCTATTTATGCATATCCAGACAGCCGAGAGAGAGAGAGAGAGAGAGAGAGAGAGAGAGAAGGGTCTTAGACTTTTTCAGATTGAAGAATAAATTTGAGTGTGAGCCCTCAAGTTTCCTAATTTTCTATCATTTTCACATACTTTTGTATAAAATTTAATCTTTCTTGGAAGATATGGTTGAAAAGAGTGATGTGTGGTTAATTATATGTGAAGAAAGATAGCATTGAAGGCAGATTCAACAACCCACCGGAAATACAGAGAGACATGAATGCCTTAAAATTGTCACACTTATTAAACTAAGTCCATTTATTATTAGTTATTATCAATTTTTTTGCCACTTGCATATTTAGTTGCCACTATCAAGATAAAAGGTGCGACAAATTATAACCATGTTTGGTTTAGTTTTCGGAAACTATTTTTTATTCTCAAAATTTTAAAAACACTTAAAACCTATTTGTTTAGCATTTTTGTTCTCTAAATTTTAGGAAAAAAATGAGATTTGAGTCAAAGAAACAGAAAACAAATGTAGTTTATTTTCAGAGTTTTCTTTAAAAATTTTGGAAACAAGGAGAATAATTTTGAATGTTTATATATATATATATATATATATATATATATATATATATATATATATTATGAAATTGTCAATATAAAAATAACTTTTTTATATTCTTTTATTAATGTTTGAATTACTGTTCAAATATATATTTAGGCTGTTCAAACAAGTTTTACTATTTTCTGTATTGTAAAATTGTTTTTGAAATCATCTAACCAAACAAGTTTTTTATCTCAAAAAATATCAAAACCACTTTCTTAAAACTCTTCTCAAAAATTATTTTCAGATACTATTTTTTAAAATGCAAACCAAACAGGCCCTATATTTTTTATATCCCATGAGATTTAAGAATTCTTACATTGTACCCTCATAGATTAAATTTCGCACATTATACCATCAATAAGTTTTGTAATGTAGTCTTTTTCGTTAATTTTCAATTCTCATTCTCTCAACGTCAATTGGGTGGTTTTTGAGAATAAACAACGAAAGTTTGCAAAACGGTCGCATTGCAATATTTTTAATATGTTGAAGGTGTAATGTAAAAAATTTAAGCTTTGAAGATGATAAGTTAAAAATCCTTAAATTTTTTGAGGTGCAAAGTGTGATTTCTGTTAACATGTGCACATAATTCTCATTTGTAATTGGATTCGGAAGAGATAAATAATAAATAGTCTTATCTTATTCTAAAAAATTTAATTTATGAATTCTAGGTTACACTATTCTTAGATAGAAGAATTTCAAACAGCCAATTTTGACACAACAAACTAATGGAAGTGAATTCCAATGAATAGTTAAAGTGGTAACAAGGATGAGTTGTAAATTTTAGACGTCTTGAGTTCGAATCTTAATAATCTTTTAAGGTCAGGTCATGAGAGATTTACCCATCATAAATATCTTAGTTCTAACATAAATGACCTGTCTTTGACTAAATCGGATAGGAGATTAGTCGAGGTATGCGCAAGTTGACTCGAATATTCCAGGCCATTGTAAAAAAAAAAAAAAAAACTATTGGACGTCATACCATTTATAGTTGGCATTGACTAGGAATGTTAATCTAGCCAAACTTTGTGAGCTTAAGTCCAAGCTAGTTGAGCTCGTTTTTCTAAACGAGTCTAAAAAATTATTCAAGTTTTGCTTGTTTAGAACTTGAATCGAGCCTGAGCCAAACCCAAGCCAAGTCCATAATAGTTCGACTATTTTACATATAAATGAGTCGAATTTTACAAGCTTAAGCCAAGTTTTTTTGGAAAAAAATTGTTCAAGTTCAGCTCATTTAAAACACGAATCGAGCTCTAGCACAGTCTTATCCGAACGGAGTTCGAGTAACTCGTATCGATTAACCCCAAACTTTGACAAGTAAGAATTAATCTTACCTCATTTTGAAAAGCCTAATTTCTTAATTTTGGATCCCCACCATATATACAAACAATAGAAGAATCACAAACAGCAAATTTTGATGCAAATGAACTAATAGGCGTCACCCTCACGGTGTTTTAATGCCCCTAAAACAGACAGACACAAGATATTAATTCTATACAAAGTAGGAAATGGCTCTTAAAAGCATCTCAAATAGTAGTCTTTATTTTAGGCAACTTTTTTATAAAATTTAAAATAAAAAAAAAGAGTGAAATTTTATATACAACTCTAATACAATTTTCTATTTTAATAGAAAAATAATATTTATGTTAAATAAATTTAATAAAAAGGTACATGTATCACATTTTTCATCAATAATGATGAAATAGAGAGTGAATTTGACTCTTCAATTTTACTTTTACAAAAGAGAACCCTTTAAGGATTGATTTTTAGTGACAGATTCTATAAAATAGAGAATTGAATAGAATAAAAAATCTATCGGAGACGCACTATATAATGGAAAGTGGCTCCCATGTGTTGAAAGGTATAAAGAGCTTTAATTAAATTGTTAAAATTGACACTGTCTATACTCAAACTATTTATTAAGTAAGTTATGAATTGAAACCATTAAGATTAAACTCGTATTTGGTTATTTTGCGTAAAGAACTGAAAACTTTAGAAATTCGGCTTATTTGCCTCCCCCCACCACGCCCACACCCACACCCACACCCACACCCACACCCACCCCCACCCCCAAAAAAAAGTGAAGTTGCAAATCACAATCTCAATAAGCTAAGAATATCTCTTTATCTTAATCATCATTCTCTTTTGGTGAAATTAAAACAATAGGTCACTGTTTGGTGACAGCTGATTTGTTACTTGTAGTTTAGACATTTGTTGTGCATTAATTATTGTTAGTATTTTTCTTTTTGTGGCATCAATATTATTGGTTTGTTAGCATCTGATAATGACATAATAAAAAATAATTCCAGTTGGGTATATTTGGCAAAGAAAATATGTCATTTTCAATTTCATAAATAAAACCTCGTTAAATTATTTTTCTTTCGGAAAGTATGGTAAAATTATTCTATTGTAATTTGGAGTGCCAAAAGTTTGAGTTGTGAAAATAATTTTTTTTTACATGTAATAGGAATAAGACTGCATACATCTTATTCTCTCCAGACTTCAAGTGGCGGGAGCCTAATAGATTTTGGACATTTAACTTTAGTGCATAACTTTAGGGCACCATTGCCGCCATAAATTTAACTTTGGATGAATTGCATTTTGCATTCTAAAATATTTTTTTAAAAAATTATTTTGTACCCTTAAATATTATATTTTTTACATTACACTTTTAATGTATTAAAAATATTATAATATTGTCTTATCGCTAGCTTTTGTTGCTCATTTTGTTTATGTTAATGGAGTCATGTTTGAGTAAATGAGCAATGAAACCTAACGACGGGTCATATTACAATAATTTTAATACATTGAGGTATAATATAAAAAATTTAATCTTTAAAGATATAAATTACAAATTTTTAAATATTTTAGGGTAGAAAATGCAATTCCCCCTTCTTTGACAAAAAGACAAAGATAGACATAGAAACCAAGAAGAAGAAATAAGTCAAGTGAAGTGAAAATAGTATGGTATTTCTGTCATGCCTACCATTGCCCAAGAAACAAAAAAAAAAAAAAAACATTGCCCAAGAAACATCATGTAAATAAACGAGGTAAAAACAATAAAAAAGACAACCCAGTGTTCTGAGTTTCCTATCTTTTTGGGATTTAGGAAAATGTTAGATATATATAATCTTATCGTGTATGTATTGTTTTTGCAATTCAATTTCATGACTTTTAAATCATAATATTGACACTACAATGTGTTTGTTTAAAACTAGTTTAAATAGGTAGCGTTTAAGAATTTTTGAATAAAATAAGTTAGATCCGTTTAGATTTTTCCTTTTTTACTAGCATAGCAGTTTTTTGAACCAAAAAAAAATTATTTATGTTGATTCAAGAAATTGAATTTATAAGCCATTCTTCTGGTTTTTTGGAGTTTTGTGCGAATCCCACATAACTTTTTAGTTTATTATATTCATAAAAAAAATTTATATTCAAATTCAAATTTTGAGAACTATTATGTATAGTCTATACATACATATAATTATTTTTTTTTATTTTGACACAAAAAATTTAGAAAATCACTCCGAACAAACTTTTTTGATTTTTTAAAGAAGACTTCAAACGATTTTATGAGACTTTTAAAATCTTGACTTTTTGAGAAATTTTTCAAACAGTAATTTTTTACCAAAAAAGTCAACTCCAAACAAGCTCAATAGGATGTTGCATCAAGACCAACTCTCAAATGGGTATGAAAAGAGAAAGCAAAGTAAAAGTATTGAGTGATTGAGCCTGATTAAAATTTAAAAAAAAAAAGATTCTACCCAATACACAAGAACAAGACTCTCTCACCTATCACTGAGATCTGGTAGATATTTATCTCCATTATCGAGAGATTAATTGTCAGATATGTGAAAATATTCTTGGGATTTGCTTCATCGAGCATCAATCAGCATAAAATCCTTAGTTAACACCGGTTCTGATGCTGGTTTTCGTCACACAACTCCTGTATTCTTGTAGCCGAGTTTCTCAGTGATATTACCAACACACATTTCTTGCACTTTGATCAGTAATTATCAAGCCACTCTCAAGTTAACAAAGGCATAAATCAAGTAGGTTAATTAAATTTTTTAGCAACGGAAATGGAATTTAAATCCTACTGTCTGCTCCTTAGTAGCCCCGTCAATAGATCAGATTTTGATCTAAATTTGAGGTTGATTAACCGGATATAATTTGATACTTTTTTATTGATAATCTAAACTCGAATCTGAAATAGGATTTTGATATAGTTATATTCAATCTGATTATAATCAAATCCAATATATATAAGAAATTAAGTGATTATTTGAAAATT